CACAGCATTAGAATTGAAGAGGCAACGGCTGTTTTATGTGCTGAATAATACAGCATAACAAACTTAAATAAGGAAATTAAGAAAGGAGACACAGATTTCACATGTATTATAGTATATGCTTTTTAAAAAGAAAGCCTTTATTCATATTTTTTGTTACTTTGCCCTAATTTATTATAGCTTTGAGTTGTTGATAGTCTAAAACCTTGTTGCAACTGATCCCAAATTGTGTCCAAGTATATTAAATTAAAGTTGCCATTCTGTTCAAAATGCTTTCTTTCCATTTTTCCATCAGTAAGGTTGAACTTTTTGTTTAGCAGGATGTCAGAGTTCTTCCAGATGTAAGCTCAGAGGGAAAGAGAGAGAAGTTTTTAATTATTTTAAGAAACTCCCACCAGACTGTCAGTGTTGGGCTGATGCTCGTGCTTTTAACACATTTATGATGTTTAATGCAGAAAATAAGTGACAAGTCAGATATTTCAGATCGCAAAGTGTTTGATCTTTGTTCTAATTTGAGACATATCGCAACCTATTGGCAAAAGAGTAGTGCTGAAAGAGGTCAATAGAATCCACCAGAATATTTGGCCCTCTATTGAGTTTTTATACTGGTTTCTGGTGGTTTGTTTTTCCATAGCAATTCAGAAATGCAAGACCTAGTGACTTAAACTAGCATCATTGGAAATAGCTAGCTTACTTTGGATAGGGCCGTCATTTTTACGGTAGGGTGGCAATCAAATAACTGGACTTTTAGAAGACAGGAAAAGGGGACAACACACCCTTTGTCCATTTTAGAGAGAAACAACTTTATCCTGGCAACCTATCAAAGTCCATCCTGTTTCTGAATGTACTTCAATGGACTCTCGCCCTGAATCTGAGATGTAACTCATGAAAGCAGCAGCGTGCAGTCTTTTTAATCATTATCACACCCGTGGGTAGTCTGGATAAGTCATCCAGACTTCCCCTTAGGGAGATCGAAGAACCATGACAACCAAGACTTACCTACCCTTGGGCAGTTGTCTGGTTCTCTAGATGGATTCCTTTTTTTGGACTTTCTGCTTCCCTGCTTGGAGCCATTTCTTTTTGCCACCATGGTAGGCAATCGTGAAAAAGAGGGAAAAAACCGTTGAAGACCATTTGGCCAAAAGAAAAGAAACGGATCAATTCAAAGGCCAGCAGCTTGTTACATCATCCACCTAATACAATGAACATCTGACATTTACTTCATGGACTGCCCAAAATTACCTCCACCGCTACAAATCAGTGTGAGAAAAATACTAATTGGTTCTTCGCTGACATGGAACAGATAGCTTTTTTTCCCTAATATCGCTTAGTTTGGAAAACAGAGTCCTCATTCCAATTACTTATTCCTTTGGCACAGACCATCCATTTTATTGTAGAGATGGCAGCATTTTAAATAACAAAAGTTCCAGTTTATATTTTTCGTATATTTTCTATACATTTCTTTCAGAAAGCAAACAAAGATTCTCCAAAAGGATAAAAAGTACATGAATACGTAATCATAAATAAATGTAATTAAATCAATTAGAAATAATGATGGTATAATCAAATGCGTTTCTGTTGTAGCAACACAATTCAAACATTTGTCTTGCAAAGGAGATGTATAATAGAGCTCCAAATAAGCCCAGAAACAGTGATAACAGAGCAATGGTGGAATTAATGACAGCAATAATGGCGTATTCATGTAAGGGAAAGAATGATAGCCGAGTAAGGACAATAATGGTACGTGCCCGGAAGCGTAGGCCTACTGTACCATAACTAAACCTCTTTTTGCGCGTGAGATATAAAGCAATAATGGCTTCATCTATCTGCTAACTGACGGTAACTGGACAGAGCATGAATCGTGGTATAAAATCCTCATCGACTCACAGTTGTGTTGCCATAACATTTCATTCGAGTGTGGCATGTTTGGCAGAGAGAGCAATGATGGGTGGAAGCATTTCCGAATGTCTCAGCTTCATGTGCAGTGTTACATTTGCGACAAGCGGAATAGCATTATTAGAGAAGTGAGAGAAAGAAGAAAAAGAGAAGAAATCGAGGACAACATGAGGTTTATTTGATCCCGGATCACTGCCTCCACACTGTCACTGGTGTGTCAGGACAATAGATGCAAGGGCTTCTAGATGAGCAGGTGTTGTTTTGACATACAAATGTATTTCAAGCTAGCAAACATGGACCATTGTCTGTAACTTAGTGGCACTGGATTGGGTACTTCATTCGGATCAGCCAGACCAGAGCTAAGAGACTTTGTTTGTGCTTTGTTATCCCATTGCTTTAAGGTTGTCAAAAGTATCGATACTAAAATGTTGTATCCGGAAACGATACTCATTTTCAAAAGTATTGATACTACCGCGCGAGCGACGCTGACCTGCCGTCGCTGCGCCCCTTCTCTCTGATTTATTTATGCATTTATTTACGTTTTTTATGGTCATTAACAAGACGTTAGCCTTGCTAGCTGCGGCTAATGGCTAATAATAACATGCTACCATTAATCAAGTACATATCCAACTCCGCCCACATCCAAGTCGGTCACCAGTAGGAAGATCCCAGGCAAGAAAATCCTAATTGCTTCATGGCAATATAGACATTAATTTAAAAATAGTTAAATTAATCTTTCAAACACTTATTTAAACTTTATACATATCATGTTAAAATAGTGTATATTAAATTGGTTTGTACAATAAGTCCAAACAAATTTAACACAAAAAAATGTATTTCTTACAATTATGAAGGCTGGAGGGTCAGGGTTAGGGTTAGGGTCATTAATGTGGGCCACCAGTCACGATAACATCAGTAACAGGTCAGTTTGAAATGAAAGACACAATTCAGTTAAATTTTGGGGTCTTTGTTTTTATCCTTGTGGTATCGAAAATGGTATCGAGTATCGAGTATTTTCCTGAGTATCGGTATCGAGTTGAAAATTTTAGTATCGTGACAACCTTACATTGCTTTCCCTCATCCCTCCTTACTGCGTCTCACCCTGACTCTGTTCTTGAGTGGTCACGGTTACAGGATCGTGGAACTGTCAATCGACCAGCTATGGCTCATCATTTCACCACCGAGGGTCTTCCCTTGTTTACCTCACTGCCATCTGTTCCACGAAACATCCAGGCCCAGATTCTGAGCTCTGGAGTTGTTGTGATTGTTGTGTATCCTCCTGACAGCCCTGTTCCTGCCTGTCTATCTGCTGCCTTTTGCTGGCTAAATTTAGCATTCATTACCACAGATGATTCCTCACCTGCCCTGTTTTCCTGACATGTTCAATCCTCCTATGAGCAACATCTTCAGTCTTGACAATCTTAGATAAAGCCTCGCAAACCTTTTCACCTTTTCCTCGCCGCTTTTCGACATTTGGTACCATGTCACGACTTAACAAGCTGATAAAGTCTGTAAGAACATTTTCTTCATATGTATCAACTTAATGGAACAGTTCCTGTTAAAGCTCAGAACTCATATCTAGAGATATCAGTATTTTTCAGGTGTTACAGGAAAGGGGAATTGGTTTATGTCATATAAACCTGAGATATCAAATTCAAATAAACCAAAAAAATGCATTAGTCACTACCTCCTCACCATGTTGAGAAGTCTCTCAGGATTTGACCACGTTCCAGTAGTCACATATGGCTTTCACACGCCTCACAATGGTTTCGAACAAGTCTGCTTCACTCACTTCTTTAAATCTTAAAAACAGGCCTTTTTATTAAATAGAAGTCTTAAAATCCTTCACATATTAAACAAGCAAAAGTAATGAAATTGAGAAGTTGTTATTAGCCAACGCCATAATTAGTGCCACTGTACCATAAATGATCTTCTACATTATATTGTGAGACCATGTTTTCACCAGGTGCACTGGATGTACGAATTCTTTTAAAGCTGTGACAGGTGGTAAATGTATAACACAGGGAATATGCAAAGTTAAGCATGTCGTGATGAGAAAGCATTTGTTCCAGCTGGTACTGAACCCCAGAATGACAGTTCATTTTGAGCTCAGGATGCAACACTGCCTCACACAGTATTTGTTTTCCTCCTGATACTTTCACAATGTAAGCGTTACACATCACAACCTCCATACCTGATGGCAAAATTAACATATTGGAAAATCTTTGTTGCACCATTTTGACCTCTTATATGGTGAACTAATAAGACACAAAAAAAACAATGTGTAGAAGCCATTACCAAACCTCTACAAGAGCATTCAAAACAGGAGATCCACATCACGTAATCATTAATACAAACAATATTATTGATGTACCGTTTGTCTCAAAGCAGCCGTTTTCATCAGTTCTTTTAAACCAAACTTCTCCGCAATTCTATTAAAAAAAACAGCCTCAGTTATGCAGCAGATAAACTTAGTGACAGTTTCAAGGGACATAACCTGTTGTTTGCCTTTCTTTTCTTTTTCATTATTTTTTACCTGTATAAATGCACCTTATTGCCTTTTCCTCTTCATTTCTTTGATTCTGCCTTATTAATACCAAGGAAAGAGAAATTCCTGTCAAATCCATTGGCATGTTAGCTTAGGTTTAACCATACCACGGAAATTTTGATGTTACCTTTTATGTTTAAAACTAACTGCAACTGCCACAACCAAATCTTGGGAAGGATTGGTGGAAAATTGCAGTGTTCTTGAAGTATTTTACTGGAAAGTTGCAAAGCACGGCTTGAATAAAATGTTATATTCTCCTCTAGTGTGAGTGAGAAGTAGCGGAATATATAACCAAAGAAGACTAAAGCTTGACTTAAACTGGAACTTAGTGAACTAATCCTCATTAGCTTCAACTAACCACCATTAAAGGAAAAAGCTGATCAATTAATGACTCTCTGGAGAGTTTTGCAGAAGCTTTAACAGCTTGGCCAGTGGTGGTGGGGTTAAAACTGACTTTAATGTGTACATCAAGATATCAGAAGAAGTAGTGCATCCATTAAAGACTAACATGTTAGTCTTTTTTTCTTTTTTTTTCTTTTTTTTTTACTGTGGACCAAAGTGCAGGCAAAGAGAAACAAAGAGAGATTGCCGATCACAATTTACTGAATGAAAGCCTGAGCAGGTAAGGTATTTGGCTTAATCTGGGCTCCAGCTCTTGGAAGCAGAGCTGGTTGGAAAGAAGCCACCGGCAGGTTCAGAGCACATCCAAGGAGTCCTTGGCAGGCAGAGCTATGAAGCTGGCTAAAGAGACTAAAGCTGGAGACAGAACCGCTGACGCTGCCAACAAGGTGGGAAGCGGTGTTTAAACCTGGCAGAGTGGATGCGTATTTTTAGAGAGGTCGGTGATTGGATGGAGGCTCTGCTGGTGGAGCTGTGGTCACAGTGGACACGCTGTCCTGTGCCCCGGCCATCAGACACACACGGGCAAAGACAAAAGGAGGAGCTGACCACATCCGGCTGTGAGGGTGAGGGCAGCGGCACAGGACAGATCGAGCCAGAATTCATTCACTCAGTCAAACAGTTGGCAAGAGTTTCTGGTCATTTCACCTTCGATTTGGGGAAAATCAGCAGATCGTGTTTAACCGAGGCACCTCGATGGACCAAACATGAACGGGGAAAAAAACATGTTTTATATTATTGGATTTGTTTTCAATAATACGGTCATCTTAAAAGCTAATTATATTAAAACTTGGCCAGGAGTTTAATTTTTATTTATTAAAATTCCTAATACCTTTGATTGCAAGATTTATAGATGAAAATATATTCACTGTGCATGCACTCTTTACCTTCAGGACCAATTTGGTCCCTTTAACTCATTATAACTTTAGATTTTTGATAATCTGAGGCTCTGGTTTTAGATGTGATTACCTCAATTAAAAGACTACAGGCACCATGGTCGAATCAAAATTAAGTTTGAATGGGGACATGGTTCCAGCAGCTTTTCAACATGCATGACAGTTAAAAACTATATGAACAAGAAAAATAGGTCTCTGTGTTTTGGGAAGGATATGACGGAAGGGTGTGAATGCTGTCGAGAATATATTTTATCTGTGTGTGTGTGTGTGTTGTCCGAACAAGTAATAGCCACTTCTGCTTAGCTTAACCCTTTAAAGCCTGATCCAAGAATAAAACAAAACAGAAAATTACATTTTTTTGGTTTGAATTCCTTATTTGGCCTTTTAACAAAATATGTAAAAAGAAAAAACTGAAATTAATTGTTAATATTGATCATTTATTACTATGCGATAAGTCAAGATTATTTTTTGTGTATCTGCCCCCTGTTATAAGGTATATCTGATTGTGTACAATAGGATTTTGAGCAAGGTTTTTACTATTAAATTATGCAAAAGGTGTCAGACGCCAAACATTTCAGAAACCGTATGTATCAAATATGATACATTTGGCATTACAGGGTTAAGTTTTCTCTTTTCAGAGTCAGTGCCCTCTCTCCTACCGGGTGTGACAAATCACATGTATTCAGGTGCACCTCAAACGTCTGATGATAGTTTTTACAGACCCTGCTACAGCCGTCTGAGGAAGGGTTTACTGAGGAATGGGAATTCTGCCTGGAAATGGGGCCACTGCAGCTCACATGAGGAGGAGGCTAAAGAGGAGAAGGAAGAGGAGGACCCTATTGTTGGTGTCGCCTCTCCATGGACATCAAGAAATGGGGAAATTCTGTGGGCTTCCGCAAACGAATTATCCTCGCCGTGCTTTTTTTCTCCCAGCCTGACCGGGTGGCGAATTTACTTTGCACTTGCCAGGATCCGCACCTCTGAGACTTCCTGCGAGCGTTTTCTTTCTGTCATGAGGACATCGTGCAGCTAATCTTGGCCTTCAAAAAAACCCACAGAGGAGGAGGGTCGCTAACAAATCGAATGATCAAAGTGAGGAGCTGCGCGCATACCTGAGAATATCGTTCCTTGCCGAGACGTTCGGGTCATAGTTGAAGTTACCCAGGAACGTGAGAGACAATGAGACACTGTCCCAGCGGAGGTTTATGGATTTAATCTACTGAATCAATCCGCCCCAAAGGATCAATGACAGACGGTCCAGACAACCAAAGGAAAGACGAGCCAGTACCGATTAAGGACCTGTAGAGCAAATACAGCTCCAGCACCCCAAGCTGTTTAACTGGGAGAGCAACATTTCATGCTATACCCCACGTTTTCCCCCTATGGAACCTCAACTAAAGTCTTTTAGATGGTGTCTAGACTTGGAGCACTTTGGTAGAGCTATTCTGACACTGGCCATGGGACAGAGATGCACAGACTAGCGTCCGTGACCAGTCTGGTCCTGCAAGCCCAGGGTCCGGTCCATGATTAACTCATTGACTGCCAGCCATTTTCAGAACAGAGAGTCCCATACTGCCAGAATTTTTTGAGCATTTTGATTGATTTTTCAAGAGCCACAGAATAGTTTGTGCTATGACTATGTAAACACAGAACACACCAAAAGAAAGAGTAAACTCTTCTTTCATCAGGAAAAAGATTTTGTTTCTACCTCATTCCGTTCTTCCTCGACTTGCGTCTCACCGGCGACATGTTCTTTCATAGCGAACCGGTACCTTTTTCTTATTTGCCTACAGTCTATGCTCATCTCCCATCAAAAGTGGCACTGCCACCTAGAGGGTCAATTTGTTACTACATACTCTGTCTAGAAGCCCGATATTTACGGACTAGCTTTAGCAGATCGTCCCCCAGCCACTCTCGTTGAAAAACATAAAAGACGTCAAAAGACGTCTTTGTCAGTCAACGGTTGGATTTGAATTGACGTCTATAGACGTCTTTGGCAGCCAATGAGTTAAGAAAAGGTAAAACTGGAAGACTCAGCCAGGACTGTCCAGACAAGCAGGTACAACGGGTCTCGTGTCCACAGAGCAGAAATATGTAGAACCAGGGCTCCAAATGTGGAGCAGCTCCATCTATAATTCATCTCATGATGATCTTATTGCGTAAACTGGTTAATGCATTGCAGAAAACATGCAAAAATACAAAGAAGTTGGACATTTTAGGGAAAGGTTCCAACTATTGTTTATCTGCTTCAAAGTATCAGGAGTTGTAATGACAAAATGTACAAGCAAACACCTAAAATATAAAATGCAGTGAAAGCGAAAAAGAAAACAATTTAATGTGATGTACCAATTTGAGGCCTAAAGAAAAAAAGGTATAAGTGCAAGTACGAGAAAAATAATAGTGCTTCAAACTGAATGCTGTTATACACTTTTTACCCATTCTGGAATGTAATACCAACATCCAAATTATTCTACATTGGAACATTTGGAAGAAAAAAAAAATTGTATAGTCCATTTTCTCCTTCCAAAAATTAGGGTTGTTATTCAGAAAGGGGTATTAAGAATAGAAAAAAAATTCAAGATTAGCAAAAAAACTGTCTATCTGTGGTTAGGTCTGAAGTTGATGAAAAGACAGAATGCAGAAAAAAAATCGAAATAATGGCAAAGGCCATGTGAGCCATGTTTTATCTTTCCATGTAAACCACCTGTCACAGGTCTCCCCTTGTGTTGTGTGTACCTGTGGAGTTCTGCTGTTGGAGGGAAGAGACCCAGAGGAGCTCCATCAATTAGCAACCCGGGTTCAGTAATCTGCAGCAATCCGGCTATGACCGGAATAATCAATCTGCAGTCTGTTTAGCAGATTTAGCTGTTTAAGATGAGGTAACTTTATTTCTCACGTGATCAGGACACTTCGTGGTTACTTCCTTTTCGAGGCATTTCAAATCCGGTTTTGGTCTTTGAGTAGACCCAGAATAGACAGGGTTAGTTATAGAAAATTCTACATTGGCTTGGACCGTGTCTGGATTCCTTAGGAGGAGATGGAGAGTTTTGCTAAGGAGAACGATCTCTGGATGTTTTTTTCCTCTACCTTTTTTCCAAAAACCTCAACTAAGCAGCAGAAGAAAACCTTTATTGACAAGTTGGTTATCAGCCTTTAGCAATCTTGTCCCTACTTTAACTAAATTGACTATTGTTTTGTGGGATATTCAATGTTGTTCATCATCTGCCAAATAGGAAGTCATTCCCAAACGTTCTTACATGGATACAATGTTTTTGGTGAATTGATTCCACACCTTAAAATGACATGATACTTTAATACTTGAGGCCCTTTAAAGACATGAAAACAACCTGAATCAATACGAGTATGGTCAAGTGATAAGAAAATCATATGCATCAACCAATTCCCCATATAAATAACACAAATAAATCAAAACTGTGCTTTATTTAAGTGTTTTTCTCCCAATATTCCCTTTAAGATGATTAAAAGTTTTAGAGAGCCCTGATAAAAACATCGAACAAGGTCCTTGAAGAATAATTTAGGGATAATTTATGCGTTGATTACAGAATAAAACCAGCAGAATCGTGTCCCTACGGCACAATGTGTTGAAATATTGCAATAAGAGAGACTCTAAAGACAGCTGTTCATGTAATGGCTGCTTGTGTTTCATCACGTAGGCGCGTGGATCATTCACATGAATGTGTGCCGGCTTTGAATAAGCCGAAAAAAGATTCAAAAACTGGTAATGTGAAAATGAAAGTTTTTATTAAAAAGAGAAAAAAGGGTTTAAGGTTAGTTCATGTAGCCAAGCCTACTTTTTTTTTCCCCTTTTAGTTGAATTACATTCTAATTGTCATTCAAATCCCCAGAATCCAAAGTAGCCTGTTTTGTTCTGATTTTGCAGAGCGGTTTTGAGAGAGCAGTGATCCCTTGTAAGAGGGGTTGCTTTCCTGGTTGGAGGGGGCTAAAAATGCTGAGCTTATGCAGATTCAGACAGCAGTTTCATGGACAATTACAGGAGGGGGGGGGGATACACCCTGTATGTGTCATTAGCTTCTGGCTAAAGGGCTGTCTTTTGCAAATGTTCTCGTTCTCTGGCGTGTGCATCACTTTGACCGCCTCTGTGTGTGTGTGTGTGTGTGTGTGTGTGTGTGTGAGGCTGTGGGCGTGGCTCGGGTCTCCTCTTGATGGGCTTCCACGCGCAGATACAACCCATCAGCCCAGCGGAGGGTGTATTTTCCCCGACCTGATGACCACACTTTGCCAGATGGAGGCCGAGTAATTCTAGTTGTTTACCCTGAATGATGTCTTTTGTGGCCATTTCCCCTGCTGCCCTCTCCTGCCACGGGAAGTCAGCGAGAGGGATTACCTGGAAAGTTGCCTGATTGTTGAAAATCTCACCTTATATAAAACCTCTCTGACATCTTAGATAGGAAGAACTCAGCCCAGCTGGAAATGATGGGTCTGATCAAGCCGTCTATTCAAAGGAATTTGAGTAAAATGGCCCTGAATTGTCTGAGTAGCCACGAAGATAAGAAAGGTTGTCCAATCATTCATTAATTGTCTCATTTTTTATCTCCTTTCACTCAATTTTTTGGTTGTTTTCCCGCTCAATATTACTGTCCACTACCGTTTCCTGTGAAATCGTCTTTTTTTTTTATTCTAATCAATCCCATTATGTTTCTCTGATTAGGAAAACGTTATAGATCATAATTTTGAGGTCCAACAGTCCAGAGCCCTTTGTTTCCAGCACGTTTTAGTACATTATGACCTCTGTTAAGATGCCATTTTGAAGTGTTCCTTTTATAAAGAGAATTGTGTTGAGATTAGCTAAATGATAATTGCTGTTTATACGTTTTGTTCAGGGGCTTCCTTTGGCTACAATGAGCCGTGGTCCTAATTGTTCAGGCTTCAGTCTTAAAACCTTAATCAATTTACATGCATATTACAAAATAACTGGGGAGATACAGAAACTTGAATAAGATAATTAATATGCAACACGAAGTTTCCACCTTTTTTTATTCTTGTTTTTTTTTTTGTCACCAGTAATATTAACTTAAATTCTGTGTCCTGGCTTTCATTTCCACTACATGACATACCACACATTTGTCATTCGCTTATCAGTTATCATGCCCAGCAGTAATTTAAATGTGTCTCTCTTGAAAGTGCAATAAGTCTTTGTTTTCTTGATCAAGAATAGAATATAGCAGTGTTAAAAACATATATAAATGACAAAAACCAATATGAAATTATTCCCCGGTTAATACTAGACTCAATATAAATGTTGTATTCCTAATACTCATCTGACTTTTCTTTTCTTTGTATGAACAACAATTTTGTGGTACGTTGCCATATAGCCTAAGTCAAATAACACCCTCCAAGTCTGCACTTACTCTAATTAAAATGGATTTCATGGAAGCAAGAAGCACTTAGTGTGAAAGCATCAATTACATTTATCCCGCATGTAAATCCAGGCGCTTAATGCGTTTTCCATTAACCCCACAATATATGAGATCATCTGTAACTCCGTTAACTACGAACATATCAGCCATTTTCAGAACACAGGACTTACATTTTTGTGTCCACAAACAAAATTTGACCGCGTTGTAAATGCCTCCTCCTTGCTGAAGGTAAATCTAGAAATGATGAGTAAACAGCGGAAGGGAAGCTCCAAACGTGCTCAATATGAGCGTGTTGTGGCCGCTGACCTAATCAACCCCAGCGAATATTCAACCCCAGCAGAGGCGATCAATCTCACAGCTAATTAAGACTAATTAGAGTGTTTCCATGACAACGCTAGAAAACTAATATGGCATGTGAGGAGGAATGTATGTTTTGTTTTTTTAAGCGCACAGAGAAAATAAAAGTGACAAGCAGCAGGTCGGATGAGAGGGTTAAAAGTAAAGACCGAAGGGTGGGGCGTTCAAGTCCAAATAATCTGAATCAAGAGTAAAAAATTAATTAATTAATTAATTAATTAAAAAAAAAGAAAGTACAGTTGGGGCTCATGCATCCATTTGCCTAAACCAGTAGTAGTTGGGGTTCTAAATAAGTTAAAATACAAGTTTTACAGTCTCTTGATTTGGTATACAGTTTTTTTATTTTTTTTATTGTAGTCTTTGGTCATGATATTCTATTATTTGGTTTCACTGCTTGTTCCATTACATTTGCCCTTCCTGCAATAAATCTCAACACTAGCTGTTGTTTAGGCGTTAAACTCCGAACTGAAAAACCATTAAGGGATTCTTGTGCAAATAGAAAATATTTCTTTCTAAACTTCAGTTAGCACCGTTTAAAGACTGAGAAAATAGAATTCTAAATCAAATTCAAAGTCGGTAATGGGACTCATGTCAGTTTGAAGATTTCTAAAAATTAAAAAGTTAAAGGTGGTTTTTTTTTTGTCATACGACTACGGGGCATCATTAAGAAGAGACTAAATTTCCACTGGATTTCATCCATCCGTTCAGTCATGCATTTCCCACACATTTATTTTCCTTTTTTGGGAGGCTAGAGTCTATCCCAGCTGTCCCTGTTCCAGAGGTTTGGTTGCTGGAGACGCACTAGATCCTGGGGCCATTTTAGTGACGCCAATTAACCTAACATGCATATTTTTTAAAAACAGTTGGAGGAAACAAGAGTACAATGAGAGAACCTATGCTCCATCCATTGTCCACACCGATTATTCCAAGACTGGACAGGTCATCTGGACAATTTCATATTAAATACACAAAAAAGAAGAATTTCTCTCTGGATACACTCTTTCCTTTTGCCAATGAAGCAAAACACGTGATGATCAGTAACAACCTTCTATATTTTTTAGTTTAAAAATTGAGCAGATTATCAGGTATGTGATCATGCTTATTGTCCTGTTCTGCACAAAGAAACAAGCTCCATTTCAATCAATGAATACTTTTTATTTGATGATTTTTGTACCTCCAGGTTATCATTGAAATGTGCATTTGTATTTTAAGTCTGGTTAAATTACTCACCCACAGATCTGGACACTGGACATTCCTATTGGAGCAGATTAGGACTTAACCATTATTCACTTGTTTTACTAAATTCGGTTTCAAGTTTGACTTTGATGTCGATAATTAAAGTTGAATCTGACGATTCTACTTGATCTTAATCTTCGTCACTTGATAGCATTTGCTCATGGCTTCACTTTTAGTGTGTCAAGTGGTCACAAAACCTCTATCAAAAGGACATTGTACATCCCAGACAGGCTAACGGCTTTAACTAGAATCTGCTTTATGTCTGGCGGTGTGTGTTTGTTCAGGGAGAAATGTGGACACAACAATGTGGAATGGCAAAGAAAAGCGGGTACACGCCAGACAAAAATTGGAAATTTTAAAAGGGCAATCTGTGTTGACTTCCCTCGGCACAGGGAGTGGGGGGAGGAAGAAAACGGATGAGTGATCAGAAAGATAGATTAAAGGTGCGAGGGAGAAGACGAATGAGGGGGGAGGAGACTGAAGTTGTAGGGAAACAAAGACAAACGTAGAATGGAAAGAGGGATGCAGAAGGAAAAGAGAAATTCTCAATAAAATAAAGGATAATATCCATCTTTTTTCCTTTTTGTTTCTGCCTTCTTTTTTGGTTAATCTTATTTTCAGATTTTTGATCCTATGATCATTTCTTTGTAAGGAAAGTAACAAATGTGAGGCTCCTACTGTGGGCCACGTGCAAACGCATGAAAAAATACAAATATAGAATGAGACTCGTCATCTGCTTTTCTTGAGCTTTGTTTTACCAGTTCAAACACATTCAGAATGCAACCCGATCACAACAAAGAAAGATACGAGTACAGGAATGTTCCGTTTTTATAACAATCACAGAGTAAGGTTTTGTTTGTAACTGATATTGAAAGGAGCTGATAAGAGTTTCTTCACTAAACTCAGCTTTCCCATCACATGAGATACAAAAATACTGTCAATCAATACAAAAATGGGTCTTCAACTCACCTCATCTTCAAGGATTATTGTTTTTTTAACATAAAAAATAACTTAGAGTTTGATTGTAGTTGTCATAATTCAGTAGCTCGTCACAGGCATGAAGGTTTAAGAATAAATCATTTTGCCAAAATAATCAAAGTTTATATACACAGCAGTTCAAAAACAGAGACGACTGAATAATTGACAGAACCCAAATTAAGCAAAAGAAAATTTCCACCTCAGATGCTACACAACATATTTTTAAAAAATACCATGTGACTGGCACATCACACACAATTATTTCTAAAGCCAGTGAGAAAACAAATGACATCTAAGAAAAAGGAATTTAAAAAATGACCCTACCTTGTGTCCGTCCCTGCTGGTTGGATCCAGGAGGACCTGGTCAGCTTCCTTTAGGAATTGGGAGAGGCAATTGTAAAAGCTCAGAGAGGTAAAAAAAAACAACTATTTTTTCTAATTATCAAATGAACGCCATAATTAATGAAAGCAGCTGTTGCTGTGTAGCTAAAACAGGAATAATGAGTTTGCTTTTGCCTGTTTAAAGATGCACAGCTGCATTCTGCACCAGCTGTTAAGACAAGGATGACTAGAAGAATCCAAAGTAAATAGAGTTTCAATAATCTGGTGGTGTAACTAGCGCATGGAACTTAGTTTCAGAGTCCAGTTTTAAAAGAATATGTAACCTTTTGTAGTCAAATTGCGCTAACGGGGGGATTTGAAAGTTCTATATAGTTAAAATAGGCAAACAATTATATTACTGGGCACTATCATAATTCACATAAGCAACATGATCCTTATTAAATAGTCTTAACAGGCTTCTACAACTGCACATGCTCTTTTCCAATGAAAAGAAATTAAAAATCAACATTTTCTGAAATTGACTACCAAGCTATTCTTTTATTTTGCTATTCAAATTTCTGCTAACGGTATTTTATTTCTTAAGCATGCATCAACCAACATTAACAGGAGCACAAGAAATGACAAAAAGTCTCATACAATAGAACAACTTTACTTTGAACACTTTCACAACTCAAGTCAAGCTAACAGAAAGAGGACGATATGAAATGTCTCTGATACTGTAGAGTTGGAAAAAATAATTAAATAGCAATACATTTCCCAGATACATAGTTTTTGTTCATCAATCATTCCGAAGTTTGTAATATGGCCTCTTAAGACTTATGTGTATATTCTCAGATCACTGAGAGTTGGCCTAATATTCTTTCAACACCGGTTCTGACCTCTTGATAGCTTCAGCCTCACTTTCACTCCGTCTGTAATTACATTTCGAACTTCTTTGATATTAGCACACACACATACACACACACACACACACACAAACCATCAGACTCCCCGGAGAGCCAGACCGCCTGTACCACACACACACACACACACACACCGCTATCTACATTTGTCAAGAACAGCAATTATGACGGAGGGGAGATTAATATTTCTGAAGCAGCCATCGCTGGTTCTCATTCTGGTGGGGGGGGCCGAGGAGGCGGGGGGGGGGTTAGGGAAGGTGGGGGGGGGGGGGGTAGTTAGGCAGCAGTTTGACTTGGCTTTAAGAGTTTGAGAAAAAAATAGAATAAAGATCATCTGCTCTGTTAATTCACTTGTTCACTTAATAACTGATGTTATTAATGTTAAGGTTTTTTTTCCCTTACAAGCATAAGACATAATTGAGACGGAGGCTGTGGTTATTAAGCAATGGAGGGTGTTTCTGATTTGTATTAGAGCTATTTGTATTTGTTTAATCATACAGTTCTCATAATGGCAGGATTCAATTTTGCTGTTCTGATACTACTAGCCAGCTTTTTTTTTTTTTTTTTGCCTTTTCCCAGGCCACACCTCACTACTCTTCTAAATCAGGGATCAGTGAACAAAAAAGTGTGCTTCTATTCACTTTTACATGTATAGAATTTATTAGTATGAGGGGTTTTCTTTCAATAATGGCCGTGATGCCTTTGACAAACTGAAACTAAAAGTACGTGTGTCATTCTGCTTTATGGGTGCTGCCACTTTTCTCCAACCCCCCCTTCACGCACCTTATCAGGATCGGAAGACTCCAGAATCCTCTTTGTAGAGTTTGTGTCAGGATCCAGGATCAGGGACAGGACCCAGATGCAGGCCTCACTTTGCACAAGTCTTTTTTGATCAGTTCTCCCAATGAAGAGCAAACCAAAACGCTATTAAAAGTTAATACAAACAAAGCACTCATCATTAAGCCGCTGCAAGGCTATGAAATTACTTACAAAAATGTATTTTAAAAAATAAAATAAAACCATTCAAAAGGCAGAGGAGGTCTAAACTATGAAACTTTACTGAAATGAAAAGCACTCCTTTAATGGAGGCAGAACAAGGTTTTGACAGTTACAGACAAAATATCACTCAGCTAGTCAGAGCAAAATCAAGTATGAACATTTAGAGAAAAATAATAATCACTCCAGAATTTTTTTTAACAAAATTAAAAAAAAAATCACTTAGACGAAAACCAAAACTCTATGAAAATTCACAAGGACTATGAAATCTTTAAAAAAAAACCTCACTTGGAGGAAACAAAATCAGGACAAGACTGTGAGTTAGAAACACTAAACATGATCTGACATGCAAAAACACACAAAACAAGGGGCAACACCCACTGAAAGTACCCATGAGGGGCAACGAGGAACAGCTGGACCCAATCAGTAATTAGGGAAGCCAGACTGTTGGCACAAGAGGAAGAGGAAATGACCAGAAACAAGAGGAGAGCCACTATTTCAAAATAAAACAGGAAATGACAGGACTGAGACGCGACAAAAACACACCAAAAACTCCCAGGCGTGACCGTTTGCTGTCTAATATTGTGATAGCAGGTATATTAGTAAAAGATGTAAAAGGAATTTGACTGAACAGTTGTATTTTATGGTGTGGGATTAAAAACATTTTAGTGAGTAAAAAGGATGACACAGGTCTATGTACTGTATTTTAACACTTTAATGCCTGATTCAAGAATAAAACAAACAGAAATTTGTCTTTTTTTTGTTTGAATTCCTTATTTGGCCTTTTAATCAAAATATGTAAAAAGAAAAAACAGAAACACATTTTTAATATTAACAATTTAGATTATTTTTTGTGTAGTCTTCTGCCCCCTGTTATCAGTTATATCTGATTGTGTAGAATAGGATTTTGAGCAAAGTTTTTACCATTAAATTACGCAAAAGGTGTCAGACGCAAAACATTTCAGACACCATATGAATCAAATATGATACATTTGGCATTACAGGGTTAACACTTCGAGCCCCAGTTTTTTCTTGTAAGACCCCCCTTTATTATTTCTTGTGTTGGTAGGTTGGTGGAAGGAGAAAAACCTTTCTCTTTGTGGTCACTAATTCTACATCATAATTTAAATTGCTACAGGGGATTTAGTATGTTTTACTTCCTTGGCTGTAAAAAAAAAAAAAAAGCGGGTTCTTTCTTTCTCCGTGGTTTCAACCGTCTGTCTTTATTCCAACCAGAGCTCAGCCTTTTGGGCAGATCACAGTTATCTTTTTCCCTTCATTGGCTGGTTGGGGCTGCCGTACGTCGTGGGATGGTCACCTTCAAAGCGCCAAAGTGCAGATCCTTATTAAACACGGATGTGACCGAACAGAGGATTTTGTTTCCAGCCAGGCCACATGAGCGGTAGAGATTGATGCATCTGACCTGGAGGAATCTCAAAACCGGACGTAGCAAGACCCTCTCTAACTTTGAACACAGCAGGATTTTGACGGCAAATTCATCATCCTACCAGGCCTGAATTTGTTTATCCCTCAGCACATGGATCTCCCTATCTTATAAGCACATGTCCTCCTACAGGACAGCTTAGAGAGTACATGTTATGCCAGGTCTAATAACCCTTATCCATGAGGTTCTGACCAAGAAATCTTTCTTTCATAAACATTTATGTGTTAGCATTTCGCTATTGTTGGAGCTATTTATTCTTTATTTATTTATTCATTTGAATTTTGTTAGTTAATTCTTAAATGTATATATTTTGTATTAATTTACAGTATTTATTTTGCAGGTTAATAATTGTTGATTCTATTTAATTTCTTGTCTTATTATTTTTCTTATTCATTATTTGAGTTAAGCAGGAAATGGGTCATGTGGGTCAGTCCACTTGCCTATAAATATAGGGGCCTGGTAAAGGACCAGCAGGCATATGGGTTGGGGCCTATGGTTTTACCAGGACAAGAGAAGAGATCAGGACAAGTCCACAGGACAAGAGAACAGGACAAGTCCACAGGACAAGAGAACAGGACAATAGATTAGAACAAGAGACAGAGCAAGCAAGAGCCAGAGAACAGAAAGTTTGAACTCTGTAATTGTTGCAAAAAAGGGAACCAATAAACCTTCAACAAGAATCAAGAAGTTTGGATATGAAATATTTTCTTTCCTGCGTATAGAAACTGGACCCCATTGCCTCTTAGTGGCTTGAGGAACTTTTCATTTGATGTTTGATTCGACAAAAAATTACTCATTTTAGCATTGTATGCTATCACATGATATATGTAAAACCACTGATTGTTTTATTTTCTTACAGAACTATATTGAAGACTGTCTCCTCTCTCTTTTCCATTCTCTTTTTTTCTATTAGATCCATGTCTTTAGGTCAACACAAACACACACCATTTGATACCACATTCCAATGTGGTCTGCATGAATTAGGACCTGGCCTGTTCATGCCCAGAGGTAACTGGCCAATAGGACTTGGTTGTGTCTCAAGGCTCTTTGCCAACTGAGACCCAGAGAGAGGTTTTTGTCCGTTAGAGCCAAGCGCTAATATACTTAACTGTGTCCAATAAATGTTATTTTTGTACTTTTGATCCACTCTGGTATATTCTCAGGTTTCCAACTAAAGAATCGGGTTAACATATGCCTTGAAGGCACAGCCTGTCCATCTGTTTAAAATCCAGACACTGTATCGGCCTCCCATATATGCAGTTTTTTTATTTACCACAAAATATTGACAGGTGTTTGAAACAATGCAAGGTCTGGGCCAGACGGCATTGCTATCGAGCTATCAAAACACAGATCGACAACAGAAATGGGGTCTAGTACGCGAGAGCGCCCGCCGACCTACGAGAGACAAGGATTTCTGCGGCGTAACACCTTGTTTAGCACAAAGGGGTCTGTGTGTGAAAGCCGGAGGCTCCCAGCAGGTGGGCCTGTCAACGGGAGCACCCACACAAACGGAGCTTAGCGGTTTCACCCGGTCTCGTTCCCTCCATCTCTGCCCGTCAGTGTCAGTCCGACTAATAGGGAGCTGCCGGGACATTTGAGCTAAAGGAAGACAGAGAGAGATAGGAAGAAAGGAACTGTGTGAGCATTTTACTTTGTTGGTGTTTATATCACTCATTTCCACCGACAGACTGTTAGAATTTGGCTATAATGACTCATTTTAGCATTGTATGCTAACACATGATTTATGTAAATAACTGATTGTCGTATTCCTTGTAGAACTATATTTTTGTGTTGAAGACTCTCTTTTCTCTCTTTTCCTTTCTCTCTTTTTCTTTCTCTGTTGTATTAGATCCACGTCTTTAGGTCAACACAAACACACACCATTTGTTACCACATTTCAATGTAATTTGCATGAATTAGGACCTGGCCTATTCGAGCCATGACACCCAGATCTCGGGGCTCTTTGGCCACTGAGACCCAGACAGAGGTTTTTTGTCTGTGAAGAGCCCAGCGTTGATATACTTTATTGTGTCCAATAAATGTTATTTTTATACTTTTGATCCATTCTGGTTTATTCTCAGGTTTCCAACTAAAGAATCGGGTAAACAAGACCATCACATGTGGGAACACGTGTGCACAAACCTGCGTTTCTGCCTGTCAAGACATGGCCTCGGCTCAAATGTCCATTGTGTTATGTATTAAGCTGTAGAGATTTTTTTTATTAGGGTTTTCTCAACAATCTTTTTATTTGACACGTGTAGAAGTTCGGTTTTACTTTTTATTGCCTCAAGGCAACGCTGCGCGGTAGAGGCTACTTACCTAACTGTGCGATTGTATCGGCTCCTTTATAAAAAGCTCTCTTGTTCATTCTCTCCAAGTCCGATCCTCGGGAGTTTCTTTGAATCGATTTTTTTATGCTTTTACCCCAGCAACTGAGAAACATTGATCAGAATCAGAAATCGCTTTATTGGCAAAATGTATGAAGCACACAGGAATTTAACCCAGTATCCCAGTGCCAAAGAACAATTAAAACTACGAATTAGAATAGTAACAAAGCAGTATTATATTAAGTAAGTACAGTATGTACAGTTTATGCATATGTACAGCAATACTGATTGCAAACCTTGGGCCTTTTGGTGTCTTTCTTGAAGACAGTCCCTGTTTTTTGCATTTCCAGTTCAAACTGAAATCTAAATAGATTCTCCAGCATCTGTCTTCTTCAGAACTTTGGGGGGAAAAACACCTGAATAGGGCAAATTCTAATGTTATCATGTTTGAGGCTGTTTTAAGAAGATAACTGCGGTAGAAATGATAGAGATATGGGCACAGATAGGGTGTCTTGCTTGAGGTAAACACACAAAGTAACACAACACAGACGGGTCACCTGTGTCTTGTAATCCAGTCCTCCAAGAAAACAGCAGCTTTGCGGATTTAATGTTTTCAAGCTATTTTTTGTGCCTTTTTAAATGCTCCTTTTTTGGTTCACACAGAAACATCCTGAATTTTTAGCCTGAGTGATGTCCAGACTCGTCGGCTGCTGCTTTCTTTTAGCGCCTGAGAGCTTTGTTCAGTCACAGGATGAAGAGCGAAAAATGAAGGTCAGACATCTAATTGATGTTTTAATTAACTTATTAACCAAACAGCCTTTTTTTTTTTTATTCCAAGAGGACGACTTTGACTGTGAGGACAGCATTAAATTAGTTCACAGGGTTTTAAAAGGAAATCGCTCAAAGGAGTGTGTGACACAACTTCTTTTTTTTTTTTTCAAATAAGCTGAATATGTGGCGACATTAATGGTTAATTCATTTTCTACAAAAAAGAATAATCAAACTCTTGTGATTCAGCATCTCTTGTGCAGAATCATCCATTTTTTCAGAAAATGTCTGTATGCTGTCTGGCCAAGATATTGTGCTACATATGAAAAGATTCATGCATCACTCAATTATATGCAGTCAGTACACGTATTTGGGAACTCCATTAAACTTCAAAGTGTCAACTTCATTTAACTGAGTTTTACTTAAATGATTAAATAGCTTTAGGGAAGTAGTAAGTAAGTAAGTAAGTAAGTTGTAAATACATTGAATCACCTCAATGTTAAAAGTAAATTAAGAAAATACATTTATCTTTAAAATATGTTTGATTTTCAAACTATTCCAGTAAGACAATTAAGATACGAGACACATTTTCCATTGAATAACAGAGTTAAAAAAAAAATCATATCTTTGTTTAATCCTTTAACACTTTTAAACTACACATTCTTAAGATGATTTTCAACATAAAACTCCTATCTCTAACGTTCAGGATTATCCAGACTTCAATCTCTAGTGAAAGCTTCACTCGTTGGACCGAACTGGCATGCCGTCCTGTTGCCATAACAACCTATATTACTGCAATTTTCTCATGCAAAACCCCAGAGAGGGAAGGGGCATCCTTGGCACTTACAGCTCACAGACACGGTGTAAAGCTGGTCTGTGTATTAGCATTAACATGCACATAGAACAGCACGTGAAATATCAGTGACACTCTTCCAGTTTGAATGCATCAGACAAGCATTAGCGTTAGAATGCCAAATTCATCACCCAAACTGACTCCTCACTCAGTTGTGTCATTAAAAACCAAATCATTCCATTCTTTAATGTCTGATGAATCTGTCTCTGGATAACAGGAAGAAAAAAAAACAGAAATGCTAACTATCAAGATAACAAAATTTCCAACAAAATTGGAAAATTGGGGAAATGTGGCAAATGAGTTATTTATCAGAAAATTAAAACTTGTAACAGCTATTCAAAAAGTAAGTGAGATTGTGGATTGAAGATTGAGTTTCCATTCTAAGGTGTTTGAGTCCCTGTGCAATTTTGGAAGAGAAACTAACTTTGTTGCACACCCCCTGAAATGGTTATTGTTTAACAAGCCAGGGGAGAGACAGACGAGTGGAAAGAGTATTTATGACAAGAAAAAAAACTTAGGTCATAAAAAGCAGCCCTACTGGTTTCTACAAGCATGAAAGGTGAGAAGCAGCAATAAATCAAACATGTTTTATTTATTGATAATCATCAAGTATGACTAACTCTGTTAGAACTGTAGAGTTTGTTGGTCTGGAACATTCAGGTGTGTGTTTGCGCAATGTTTACGAAGAAAAACATGAACTATCCTTTTTTTGTTTTATTGGCAACAAGTAATTCTCCATATCTAAACAGACGCATGATTTAGGACTTAAAACCTCACACACTTGGCACACACTCTGGTCTGAGTGTGGTCTGAAATAATAATGTCCCTGTTAGCATAATAACAGCAATACAAAGTTTTCAGTCCCAGCATAGTTAAATTAGTGGATTATGAGTAGGGATGTCTGGCGTTAAGATTTTGAGCTTCTCATCCGTGCAAATCTGTCATTAAAAGTAGTTCTTCCTCCCATCAATGTACTAAAGAATGGTTACGAGGACATTTTCTCATAATTTTATTCTTGGATTTAGATCATCCACCCTGCAAATTTGGTCTAGGGTCAAACCGCATTGTCCAAAGAAATGTCATATAATATCATAAATTAATAAAGGTATACTATAAATTTGATTATTGAATGATTACAATACGAAACTGTGGAGATTCAATTTGTATGCTAAATATGAAAGGTAGCAATGCAGCCTGAAAGGGGACACAGTGTTTGTGTTACATGTATGCCACTTCTAAGATCGTATTAAGGCAGAGGGTTGCGTCAGGAAATGCCTTGGGGATAAAACTTTTGACACATCTGCCATGCGACTCCAGAACATAATCTGCATTCTGGATCTGTTGAGGACCAGATTAACAACCACCGCCATTGGTACTGCGGATCAATAGGGTATCAATGGAAATTGGCCGACTTTATGATCGATTGAATCGTAAGTAGGGAAAGTAGGATCCATATAGAGTAATGTGACACAGAGAGAGATATTGGAAGGAGTTTCGGCAGGTTAGGGTGATTAAGGATCAAGATGGGAATGTTCTGACAGATGCCACAGGTGTGATAGAGAGGTGGAAGGCATAATTTAGAAGGAGTTGTTCAACAAGATCTTGGAGGGTGAGAACATGCCAGAGGGATGGAGGAGAATTGGGCCTGTAACAAGTTCTAAGAACAAGGGATATGTGCAGAGCTGTGGCAACTAAAGAGGAATAAATTTGATCAGCCATGAAAGGCTGTTATGGGAAAGAGAAATAGAAGCTAGACTGAGGGCAGAAGTGAGCATCTGTGAGCAGCAATGTGATGATTTGCAGTGATGATGTTGAGGGAACCGTAGACTCACTTTCAAGAGGATTCCCGGTTTGAGTCCCCAGGAGACCAGAACCTCGCTATGTGGGGTTTGCAGGTCTTCCTTGTGTCTGTGTCCTCCTACAATCCATGTTATGTAAATCGGACACTCCAAATTGCCTAGAGGAATGAATGTGAGTGTGTGGTTGTGTGTGGTTGTGTGTGTCTGTGTCACTCTGCGATGGACTGGCGGCATGCCCAGGGTGTACCCCGCCTATCGCCCTCCGTCAGCTGGGATGAGCTCCAGCCTCCATGCTGCCCCGCTGGGAATACGTGCTATACAAAATGGATGGATGTTGAGAAGTATGTAGAAGGTCAGCGGGAATTGAATTGTGTTTTTGCAAATCTGGCATATGTGACAAGGTCCCGAGAGAGCAGTTGAGGTATTGTAAAGTCTCGAGTGGCACAGAGGTATGTTAGAGAGGTGCACGACATTTCTAAGAGCTGTAAGACAATAATAAGGTTTCGTCTAGGTGTTCAGGAGTTCACGATGGAAGAAGGACTCCATCAAGGATTGTCTCTGAGCCCCTTCTTTCTCTCTTTTGTGATGGACAGATTGACAGATGAGGTTAGACAGGAATCTGCTTGGATAGTGATGTTTGCAGATGACATTGTCACTGGATCTACAGTGAGAGCTTGGAGCAAATGGAGGAGAATCTATAAAGACGGAGGTATGGCTTGGAAAGGAGCAGATGAAAGTTAGTCGTAACAAGGCTGAAGAGGTATGTGAATTAAAGGGACCCAGGTAGAACGGTTATGTTACAGGTAACAGAGATTTAAAAAAAAAAGTTTGGTAGGATTTTGTAGGTTCTTTGAAGGGTTGTAAGTACTTCAATAGTCCAAAGCAACGATGAGTGTGGAAAAGAAGGGAAGAAACATGTCCGAGCAGGTTGGAACGGGTGGGGAAAAACAAGTGTTTGGCGTGATAAAAGAGTATCAGCAATAAAAAAAGATAGAGAGCTGTACAAGACAAGGGTGACACCAGCCAATGTATGTTGTAGAGACAGTCCTCCTAGGAAGGAGCCAGGAGACAGAGCCGGAATGAACAGAGATGAAGATGGAGAGGTTCTCTCAGGGATTAAAAAGGAGAGATAGGATCATAGGAACATCTCCTCTTAGTTGTGTTGGAGATAAAGACAGAAACCAGACTGGTTGGGTTGGGTACAGAGGAGGGATAGTGCATATATTGGTAGGGATGCTGAGGTTAGAACAGTCAGGTAGGAGGCCTAGAGGAACCCTGAAGTGGAGGCTTTTGGAAAGAGTGAAAGAATACATAGGGTTGGATGGAGATGGATGACTCACCATGGCAACGCCTGCAGGAAAAAGCTGAAAGAAGAAGAATGTGAGGAGGTAGTTGTAAAGGTAGTTCTAAACATGAGGTCCAACATTCCCCAATGATTATTTAAGAAGGTGAGAATCATAATTAGATTTTAAATATCTTGGATGAAATTATGTTTTCTTAAATTCCAAATCCTACCACATAGGGCAGGTATAAGAACCTTTTCTGAGGTGTAGCATTACAGACGTGGAACGTGATAGGTCTCACAGTTACCTGTTTTCCTTTTTTATTCAGCCACAGTCTGTGCAGTACACCACAAACTCTGACCTTTCTTCGAACATTCTCTATATCTGTGATGTCAGGAGCTGAATCTCATGCGATGTGTTCTGAAAATGAACTAAATAACATCTTGTCAAGAATATTTTCATTTTCTGCCTTGAAGATCTACCAACACATTTTAAACCCTTTTATTCTGCTTTCTTCTAATGCTAGAGTAAAAAGGCACTTCTTAGAATTCATGACTGTGCACAGCAATAAAAAAGCAGCTCTTTATCACAATGACAGAAGTTCAGTTCACTGTCATTACGGAGCCAAAATATGACTTCGACTGGAATAAAAACAACACAACAATTACCCTGCGCAAGCAACTAGGGCCAGTATACAGGATAGTCAATTTTGATATGGGGAAACTAATCACAATCTTGAGAGGCAATCTTCTGACTCAATTGATTTGAATGACACCAGCACAAAAAAAAAAAAAAATGACACATGCTTAAAGGCAACAGTGTTATTAATCTCTGAGACATTGTTGCCAGGCCACAAAGCACCCTGAGATTACAGATGCTATCATTCTATTACATAAAAATCATTTCATCCATATTCTGTTTGTTGTTTTGTGTTGATTATTAGAGTTTTTGAGGATCTTTCGGAAAAAATTACTTCAGTATTTATGGAGTGCTGTTTTTTTTATTCATACTCAAAGTGATTTAACATTCTTTTTAAATCAGTCATAATATGATTATTCAAACAGCTTGACAAGCGATATTGAGTGCTCTTGGTTCATATCTGCCCACTGCAGAGCTACAACATAATAAGCATGTCACATTAGTTTCAGGTATAACTATTTCAGGTGCTGTGAGGAAGTGTCACGATCTCATGTTACATTTAATTATGCTGTTAATGATGTCCTTGTCATCCTTTCTTATGATATAAAAAATATGATGCCGAGAGCCATTTTGCAGTACTTATACGACACAAAATTTAATTGCATTATATTATTTTCTAACAAAAGGAGATGTGTATTGTTACATAATGTATCATCTTTTCTATTAAATTACACCCTGTTATGATGGCAGTGAACTTTGTACAATTAATTTAGAAAATACACTGCTGAGATTAGGTACTTATTATGGTTAATATAACCTGGCATAGTACGAATGTTACATTTAATGTTATCTGTGCATACCTCTTGATATATAACTCCTATAATTGGATATTGTCTGGATTTACTAGTCTTGCTAGTAAGGAGGTTATGAAAACTGCATGTGAATTTAGCTGTTTAGAATAGTGTTACAGTCAGGTGTATTTTCAAGACAATGATAATCTGAGCAGCACAAAAGCATCTTTTAAATACGTAAAGATAAACAAAGGAAATAGTAGACCCGTGCCACCATTTCATCGACATTTGAATACTTAACTAAAGAGATATTTTATTCAATATTTCACTTTTGAAATATATAAGAGACCTTTTGCATGATAAAAGTTATGTATTTTAAAAATAAATATGTATAAATCTTTTGTTATTCTCATGGACTTAATTTAGATTCAGTTGACTGTCTATATGCTGCTAGATGGAGTGGTAGTTAAACATGTTTTTACCATTTCCTCCCACTGTCATAAAAACATGCATGTAAGGTTAATTGGGGACTCAACATTGCCCATACAAGCAAAAGTGAGTGTGTGTAGTGGTTTGTCCCAGTAGTCTCCACGTGGCCTTGTGATGAACTAGCTGCCTGTCCGCTCACCCAATGACAACTGAGATAAGCTCCAACCCCCCAGCACGACCCTGTTAGGAATAAGAGGTACCGAAAATGGATGGAGGACTGGTCTGTTTTTCTCAATCACGATCTAACGTATCCCAATGTCATCTTTTTTTCCCGTTTTTTAATCAAAAGTAATCTGAAATTTTTTTGTTAACTAGAGGAACATATGTATAAAAGGCTTATTTTAGCCCACTGGATTCTAAGCTGAGCTATAAAAATGCCTGATCAAAACCAGTTAGGAATAGATGGAACAAGAGAGTAATAAAGAAAACAGTGACAAAGAAATTTCTTATTCCAAAGGCAACAGGAATGAGTGACAAAATGGAGAAAATCACTGTCTAAAGAATAAGCAGCAACTTATTCATTTTAAACTAAACTACTTAAACCATGATCCCTTTTGTGTAGCCCAAAAACAATCCTCCTTGTTGATCCATTGCTGTTCTTTAAAAATTCTCACATACCGAACAAGAAGCTCAGCCACATTTTTCGTGTATCTTTTCACACAAACCACAATGTTGGAATCAGCTTTGTGGATAGACCTCACAAAACATTTCTGTAACTACTTCAGTTCCAAGCTCAGGGGCGCATCAACACAGAAACCCTTATGACTCCATCGTGTCTTTACACATGAAATTGACTCATGCAAAGGAGCCCCAGCATGAAAATCTTACATTAAAAAAACTCTAGATGATTGAATTGTGTTTCAATTAGCGCGTGTCTTTTACCATCATCGTGGTCACGTACACTTTGTTTGACCGAAATCTATGAGACAGGTGTGTCATGAAGGTGGGTCTTGGAGGGAGGACTCAGTCACAGAGATTCAGAAAACAGGGTTTATTGTAACAAAAACTCACTCATGGAGTGGATGGTGACGAAGTTCAAAACAAGGCTGTGAGAAAACTATGATCAAAGTAGCAAAGCAAGATAAACATGGCTGTGGCAAAAGTATCAAAACAAGACTATGGCAAAACAAGGTTAACAAGACTGTGGCAAAACAAGGCTATGACAAAAACATGGCTATGGTACAAAGTAGTTAAGACTATGGCATGGAGCAAAAGCAAAACCTTACGTGACATGGGGAGACGAAAGACTAAAGAAAACGCACTCGCACAGGACATGGGAAACGAGGACTATTTAAACACATGAGGGAGGGGAACCCCAGGTGTACACACTAGGTAATCGAGACATGACCAGACACCAGGCGTGACAAGGTGCTGGGGGTTTGGGAGTTGTGCTTTCCATACCTGCTTTGAATCAGCCCCATCAAGTGGAGTTTAAGAGGAGGATGCTGCCAGTATTTTGGTAACCTTTAGTGGTAACTTTCAAACCAACGGTCACCTGTTGATCTTGGTTTTCTCTCTTTCAAGAGGATTTCCACTCACAATTCTGTGCTTTAAGCACTTCGTGTCTTTCTTTTATATGCTTATGCATACAGACATGATGGCAGTGGATATAAGGTCTGATGGGTGTGAAACAATGTTCATCCTAAATGGATTTATGTCCCACCATGTTAGAACATATGTTGATTTATTGGTATTTTGTGTAACGATGCATTTTATGTGTTCGTATTGAGTTCAGCTATATTTCTGGATGTGTTCCTGAATGTAAAGGCAGTTCGTAGCAGCCAAAGAAAGGAATTTAATTGCTTAGAGGACAACAACTTAAGTTACTTCAACCCCCCCCCCCTATCCCAACCTCTTCTTCCTGATTAATCCCAGGGTCAGACTGTCTATTTCATATTAAAGTCCTGCTCATGGCCTGCTGACCCTGGAGGTTCTGCTACCTCAGAGATACCAGCCCTGAAATTAACAACCCGGACACACTCCTTCTCCTTCACTCTTCCTCCTCCTCCTCCTCCTCCTCACCGTGCTTCTCTCTTATCCCTTCGTCCTCTAACAACTCCTATTTTTATTGTCTGTCATTTCTCCCACCCCTTCATTCCTTCTCCTATTATTTATCTTCCTCCAGGTCATTTCCTCTCAGATTCCTTAGTTCTTTTGACCATTGTCTTCCTTTTTTTTTACATTTTGAGACAGATTTCCTGGCTCCCACTTCTCATATCCTCCCCGATTTGATTTTTTTCTTCAGCCCCAGTTCGGATCTTTCTTGTCTTATGTTCGGTTATTGTTTCAAATCTCAAACTTGGAATGACAAAGCATTTGTATATGGAGGGTTACAATGTACTCCCCACTGTTATGCGATCTCAGTATTGGATCTTTGTGTCCACACTCATCTAAGAATACTTTCTTAAATTCCTTTAACTTGCTGAGACCCATCTCTTAGCATACTCCATAGTCCTTTAGCCTTCACCATGTGCTCTAAAACTTCCACGTTTCCCAATTCTCTGATCCACTCAGCTTTCCGAGTCCATTGTGAATCCCACAAATCCCTTAATTTGACTCAAAAACTTCCCTTAAGCAACTGTTAGCGATGGTCTAAGCCCATAGCCCAACGAGAGCAGCCATTTATTCCTTTATACCTTTTATTCTTCCTCAAAACGTACAACTAAAGTACAACTGCAGTACTAAGAACACACAACGGATGGCGGCATAACAGCCTCTCCATTAACAACCAGTGAACAGATAACTGTTTTTGTCACATCAAATGCATAAGAAATAGACCCAGCATATTTGAAGTGGATAGCATTCATATGGATTGACACTGGAGGCTGCACATTTGGAATATGCAGGCCTCATTAGTCAGCGTGTAGAGGACCTGACTTTTGGGCACATGAGTTCGTAATGGCCTTCACACACGTTGGTGAGGAAGCACCACGTTTAAATGGTGAATTTCAAAATTGTTGCCTGGAGTTTTGGCCTTAAAATAGCCTCATGAAAGTTATGCAGCCTAAACATAACCATACAAAAACTTCACTATATACTCTACTCAATGTTCA